TTAAAAATCATAATTTTCTTCTTGAATACTTATCAGTTATTCCAGTTTAATATACATTTTCTTGGCAATAATTTTTTTGGAGATTGAGAATCATTTTGGTAACCCTCATCTGTGTGTGCCCCTTCCATAAAAAAGAAATGTCTGGTGGCAATCATTGTCATTTTTTCTTCTGATCTTCCAGTACACAAATTTTGCTTGTTAAAATTTTTCTTCTCTTTAGCAGCTATGCATTTAATTAACAATGAAAATCAAATATAGTTTACAAAGTTTGCATTTGTCACTGAAAAATTATTGCCAAGAAAATGTGAGAAAACTGTACACCAAAATTATCTGATAAGTACTATCTTTTTAATTTATATATATGAACGGAAAATGTTTTCATATGAAATAGTGTATCATATACCGAGTACAAGCATGTTTATTTGAATGTGTTTGTGTATCTCATGTCTAAACTCGGTATTTTTGTATGCATTATTAAATATGTGTGTAAAATTTTGTAGGATAAGAATCCTTTCTGTTAAAGGTCTACTTATAAATTTCATTTATAAGGTATTTGAAGCACATTGGAATTTTGAAAATTAATATAAATAAGTCTTAGAATTTGCAGGTATTGCATTTGTTTTGGATAATTGTTGAAAGGCCAACCTAAATTTCTTTTCAAGAACTTTCAAACAAAAATGGTATGTTTAGTTTTAGATTTATTTGCTGTATGTATTTTCCAAGCTGCATTGAGCCTTTGTCTAAAAATTATTTATCTTTTCTTGCAGATTTCATTAAAAAATGGATGAAGATAATCATTCTGTTGATTCACCTGCTCAGAGTAATCCTGGAACTCCACTACCCAGTAATCCTGGTACACCACGAAATGACCGAAATGATGATATTGCTTTAGTTTCCTCGACCTCTTGCTATCCCACTCCTCAAAGTACTGGCTCAGGTTCATCTCGACAGCAGCCTAAACCTAAATATTCTCAACTTCTTGCTATCATTGAAGAATTAGGAAAAGACATTCGACCCACATATGCTGGAAGTAGGAGCTCTGCTGAGAGACTGAAACGTGGCATTGTGCATGCTCGAATTCTTGTGAGGGAATGTTTGATGGAAACTGAAAGGAATGCTAGATCATGAGTGCTTATTTAATTATTTTGTAATTGATACAAAGATACATATTTTTGTTTTTCATTGAAAGCTCATTGTTGTATAAAATTTCCAAATGAAATTTATCCTAAATTTTGCTGAACCTTTTTCATCATTTTGATTGAGCAAATTTTGATAAACTTTATATATCAAAGGAACATAATTTGTGGTTTCATTTGTGTGATAGTTATCTAATTTTTTAGTCTATATTATGCATTTAAAGTTTTATCATGATTAAATTCACCATGTAAAAGAGCATTTTTAATTTATTTAATAAAAAGAAACATTTATTTATATAATGGCTTTATCCAAGCTTGAAGTTTGCTTCTGTATCTAAGTTTTTCTTGTACTTTTGATTCATTTTAAATGGATAATGAAATGGTTAAATTTTAAAAATTTCTTATCCAAATAATATAATATAATAAATTAAATATACTTAAATGCAAATTGAATTTATTTTTCTACCTAATTTGTTTTTAATTATTATTATTCTTTCTATGTCTTTGTGCCTTTTTTCTGATTAGTTGTGTCCTTGATTTCCATCGGTAATGTATCAGTCAACATGTATCCCCTTATGATTTTCGCATATTTTATGATATAGCATACTAGAATCATACGTGATATTATACTGAACATCATTTCTGTGAAATAACATTTTAAATGTTCATACTAGATTCTGAGGTAGGTAAACTGTGATTATATGTAACATAAAGAACATTTCAACAATATTGTATCATAACATACTAAGATGTGAGCAGTTATCATAGTGTAACATAAGAACAAATATGTAAACAATTTTTAAATTTTCAGGAAGTTGCGTGTGTAAAACAACCCTTCTATGTTTAAGGTCCAGTGTAGGAATGAAATAGAATAATAGAAGGCTAGGTAGGTAAAAATCAATTACGTTTATTAAGGAGTAATAGTAGTATATAGTTATTTAAATGGCGGCGACTAATCTGAAGAAACAACTGAATTTACATACCTTCTTTACAATTTAAATTCACCTTTCCTGTTTGGGAGGCGCAAACAACTTTTGGGTATTGATACCCAGATGGACAACTTTCACGAAGCAGGTAATAACGTTTACTTGTAGATTACTTCTGTAAAAAAAAAAAAAAAATATGAGAATTAATAATGTGAAATATTTTCGGGGCCAGTCTCCCGCCCCACACCGCTGCCGTCCGGCAGGACTCCGGTCACACCAAGATGTTGGCCATTCTCGATTCAGGTGCTACACTGGCGTCGTGGGCAAGTTGTCTATTTTTCCACTGCCATGGCACGCCTCGGCTGGTCCCCTCTCTGCATCTTGGATGTCATCGGAACACAAAAAATTTCCCTGGCCCCTTCCTTCTAGGTAATGTTATTCGAAATTGGTTTCCTCTTCTTCCTCCCTCTCGAAAATACTGCGCAGCCACTTTAATAGCTGGCGCGTGTTTTTGAAAACTTGGCGTAGATGTTGATCAGCACGAAGCCAAAACCAACAACCCAACGCTAGGAATCTTCACAAGGAGGGGTTTCCTGACTACCAAAAGAGCCGTTTCTCGCTATTCCACCATTCAGCTTCCAAGGCCACACCAACGTGTCATTAGATCTGCAGACGAAAACAAGGGGGGAAGAAACTAGCCTCGCTCGAGGGTCCCAGTCGATAATTCAGATCTTCTAACTCAACGAATATTTTCCCCACTATAAGTATGCTGTAGAACATCTCCATGCTTGCCTGTCCAGCAAAACAGAGTCCTCTTTTCGTGAAACACCATACGGTATATCCATCCAGCACATCGCCCCCCCCCACATATGGTGTTTCGCTTGGTAAAAGGAATTTTGGGGTGCAGTAAAACCGCTGATAAGAATTTCCGAAAAGAAATCAACTGAGGGCAAGGGGTGAAATCTCTGAACCAGTTAATACAAAAATGACTTTGGGAATTAAAAATGAAACTACTAATTACACAACATTATTCATATAAAATGTCAGCCTATAAAAATTGTTTTTCAGCCACAATTAGTATACACACATATTATCCAAATTGAAATACAAATGCAATAAATATAACCTACCGTCAGTCAGAAAATATGTATTCGTTTAACTTTCAAAGAAAGAGGGATACAGATTAAGTTACTTAAGGTTAAGAAAAAAAAAATAATAACACACCAAAAGTGCAACAACAAGGCTTTAAAAATAATTAGAGTTAAAAGTTAAACAACCTTAAGGGTCAAACAACAAGTTACAAAAACCAAAAATCTTAGGTCCCTAAACTCAAATTAAAAATTAAACAACTTCAACTCAAAAAAATTTTAAAGCAACCTAACCAAAATTTAAAGTTTACAAAAGTTAGAATTTGAACTTACAACCAACTTTAAACAACAACAACAACAACAAAACAAACAAAAGAAAAAAAAAAAGAGCTTCAATTACAAATCAAAACTGAAATAATAAGCAAAACAACTTAAGCTTGAAAATAAAAATGATTAATACATAACACATAAATTAGAAAATAATTTGCCTCTTCCTATTGGAATTGTTTGAACTTGAGGGAAACTTCTTCCAAAATGTTTATTATTTTCAGTAAGTGTATTTCCCAGCCAGCAAAATAAAAAGTATTGCTACCCGAGGAAGATTGTTTTGAAGCCTTGAACACAAACAATCCAGTGAAATATGCATTTCATCTTGAATAATGAAGTCTTTTTTTTTTTTATTAAATATGTGTATAAATCCTTTAATGGCAATAATATATGCTGAAAAACATCACATTAAATTTCTCTCCTTACTGTGGGCAATTCTATTTTTAACAGCTCATTTTAATTATGTGATTATTTTTAATTTTTCCTCAAATTCCTGGGTGAGAGTTGCATACGAAGATTAGATTTTGATTTTTTATACAGTTTATGGGTTTTGTATGGTTTTTAAATTTTAGCAAACTATTTGAGACATTAAAATTTTCAGATTCAATTTCTTTTTTCATTTGTTCTTAAATTCCAGGGCATTTATCTAATGTCGTTTTTTGAACTGCTTAATTCAACTGTAAGTTAGGAGAAGAAGCTTAAATTCTTAATTTATAATTTTCTTATAGAATATACAAAAATAATTAAAAATCAAATTTAGAGAGACACTTGTATGGAAGCTAAACTATGCAGCAAGCTGGTAATTTATATGTAAATTCCTTTGTATCTGAATGAACAGTTTTTATGTACTGTCAAATCAAAGTTTGTAATTCCTTGCAGTGTACCACCTAGTACATTTAAAGTTTTAATTAGTGCATTACTGAATAACAGAAAACTGTAAATAAGTGTCTACAAGCTGTAAAATATCTTTGTAGATATACCTGTTTTATAAGATGCTTTATATCATGGGAAATTTACAATCTGGTTTTGTTTCTTATGATAGCTGTTAAAATAGAAAACATGTGCTTTTGGAACACATGCAAATTCAAAGCTGCTGCAACACAGTTTAGTGGTAAAAATGCATATTTAATATTATTATGACAACCCGGGTAATAATTCTAAGTATAAAATCATAAAATTTAATTTATTAAGTGTAACTATTACTTTGTGACATTATGAAAACACATTATTTGCATATTGAACTTTTCATTCAATTGGGAAGGCTTTTGTTAAAGTAATAACTGAGATAATAAATTCTGCATGTCAGCTGTAATGACACAATGCAATTTAATGAACTTCTATTGTATTTGAAATTGCATTTTTTTTTTTTTTTCAGCATTTTAAAATTTGCAAGTTTAATTTTGATCTTATAGAAGCGTAAGAGTTTCTTATTATATTTTTCCATTATTATTCGATAAAGGCCGGATTGGCATAAATGCCTAAAAACGAGAATTTGATGCCAAATTAACATTAAGCTTTCATTTGAGACAACATTATAAAGGAAGCATAGGAGGACAAAATTGATTTAAAGAAAAAACAAAGATTATAATAATATATGTATATATAAATATATATTTTCAAAATATTTTTATTTCCGCCATATGCTGCAAAATTATCATTATATAATATAGAAAAAGAATCAAATCCACAAAGACATGAAAAGAAATAAATTTAAAACCTAAAATTGCAAATTTCCCATGAAAACGTAAAAAAAAAAAAAAAAAAAAAAAAAAAAAAAAAAAAAAAAACCATCAACTGAAGGTATAAAATACAAAATAGGAAAGGAATACAATTAAATCTGATTCATTTTATCAAGAAGATTATAGCTCATGACCCTTCCCAGGAAAATCACTGTATTTCTGTTCATCTAAAATTAGATGAGGAATCATCTTAAATTACCTAATTATAATAGTTCATCTGAAGTTTAAATGCCTCCTCAATACAAAGCCCTCCTTTCATATAAATAAAAATATACAGAAACAATTTAAATGAAATAAATTCAATGCTAAAGTCAAATATACTATTTACTAATATTAAAATTAAAATGTAATTATTTACAAAATATATTAAAAATTGACAGAGAACAAAAATTTTGAACTACTATTAGAAGAACAAAGGGCGGTAATTCAGAAAGAAAAAGTGTATTCTGATGGTTGCCTGGTTTGGTGCTGCATTGGTGTAGATATCATTTCAGTGAATAATGTTATGAAAACAAAGTGAAGTAAATAATTGTTTGAATCTGAGTATTGCGGCTGGCCAAACAGCTAACGAAAGTCGGAGAAAATCTGCTGTCTTACTGAACTGGTTCTATGCTACTGCAAAAAGCCAATTTACTGGAATTGTAAAAACATATAATTTATCATCCCATCCTACTAGCTAGAAAGCTTCAAAGGGAAGGTTATAGCTTAACAGGAAAAGTAGAACAAGGTATTGAAGTCAAGTTAAAATGCAATGAGCATGGGCCTAAATAAGGTCTCTTGCCTAATTCATGAAATAAATAGTTTTATTTAGAAGTCAATCAACAAAATTCAGTATTTTATGTGTGTATTTTGCACTTTGGCAGCTGAAGATGATGGTTCAGTAAACCCATCGAAACTAGTCCTGTGAAAATTTGCAAATATAACGCTGATTTTTGTTTCACTTCTAAATTAATATTTGTTTGGAGTGTTATTTTACATAATTAAATACGGTTATTGAAGCTAAAGCTAATGAATAAATTTAAGTGTTGCAGAGATACATGTCAGTGAAAGCTTCTTTATCGAACTCTGCATTAATAATTTGTATTGTAGCTGAAGTTTATGAAAGTAGAATTGGAATTAAAACCAAAATAATAAAATGACTGGATTAATATGAAATCTTCTATCTCTGATATCTGAAATCTTATATCTCTGATAATCAAACGCCATGCAATATGA